TCTCTTTAAAATTTTTCGTGACCTTCTTTGCTTTCTCTGCATCAACATACATGTCACCCTTTTTAGCAGGTCGTGCATCGATTCTGGGAGGTTTTAGAGAATGACTTCTTAAAAGTCCGATTTCGCGTCCCATTCATTAATGTTGTCACTAATGCAGACATCTGAAGGTCCTTTATACCAAGTGTCGCTTGACTGAACCTAGCTAAGTATTCTTGCAAAGATTCATCTTTTTCTTGCACAACCTGCTTCAATTCAATTGCCATCTTCCATTTCTTTTTGCTACTCGTGAAGTATGTCATTAAACTCTTGGAAATTTCGTCAAAAGTCTTTATAGACCGGGTGCCAAGGTGGCCACCCAGTCTCTAGCCTCCCTCCTGAGTGTCGAAGGAAAGTACCGATACATCACCGCGTCTGGGGCTGCATAGACCTCATTAAATCAACGAAGGTCCGCAAGTGGTCAATCAGATATGTGACTCCATCATATACTTCTATTATTGGCTGTTTGAAGCCTTTCGGTAAAGGAACAGCCATAATTTAGGGTGCAAAAGGATCTTCCTCCAAAACCGTTTGTCTGCGTCTATCATTCCTCTTAGTTAATGCATTATCTATCTTCTGGATCATCATCTCATCTATCTTCCTTTTCAAGTCCATCATGGGTTGGGGAATTTGTGCAACCACAAACTCTTTAGCCCCCAAGTCCCATGTTGTTGGCTGAGTAACAGGTGGGATAAACGTTTACGCCACCTATGGCAGTTGCTCATGTACTACTTTTGACAAGTTTTGTGGTGGCACTGCAATTTTCTACGTTTGACTCTGCAAGAAGGTCATCATGGCTGCCAATTGTGTTTCCAAGGCACTAAATAGGCTTTGCGTTACATACTATGGTGTTGGGGCGGGTCGAGACCCCTTGCGACAAACTCTGACTCCTTCTCCGTCGTGTTCCTCGACCATGCGTTTTTCACTCCTTCTCCATCTCCTTGACATAGCTTTCTTATTCAGTGGATTCCCATAGACAGCGCCAATGAAATTGTAGCGAGGTTGACCTCCACGTTCTCCTAACGTGTTGGGTGTTCCGGGCACTCCAATCAGTGTATGCTACTTGCAAAATAAGATCGGAGCTTTCTCCCCCATTGTACCTCCGGCGCGAGAATTAGTAGTTGGTTTTTAGGAAGTAAGAAGAAAGTATATGGGAATTCAAACAGTTTAGGTTTCAAGAAAACCATACCTTTCTCACCTTATGGGTATTTATAGGCACCTGACGCAACACACTCATTCAGCAGTTAATGGTGCCACGCATCTCAAGTAAATCTTCCCACTCCCCTCCCCCCGTTCTAATGGGATGACCCTCACTTCTCAACCAGTTGGTTGTGCTTCCGTTTGCCGTTGAATGGTTCCCATCCAGCTCATTACCATTTGTATGGTTAAGTGTAACGTTAGGCTCATGGGGGTCGACGGCTTATGTAAACATAGAGGGCCTCATAGTGGTTGACAACCTATGTGAACGTAGAGGGTCTTATGGTGGTAGGCGGCCTCATAGTGGTAGGCCGCATATGTGAACGTAGAGGGACTTATGTTGGTGGCAGCCTTATGGGGGTCGACGACCTCGTTAGGCGGCCTCATGGTGGTAGACAACCTATGTGAACATAGAGGCCCTCATAGTGGTAGGCGGCCTCATATAGGTCGACAACCTGATGGTGGTAGACGGCCTCATGGTGGTGACGACCTATGTAGTGCACATAGAGGGTCTCATGGTGGTAGGTGGCCTCATAGTGGTAGACGACTTATGTGAACGCAGAGGGTCTCATTGTGGTAGTTGGCCCCATGGGGGTCGACGGTCTCATAGTGGTAGGCAGTTTCGTAGTGATAAACGGCCTATATGAACGTAGAGGACCTCATGATGGTCGACGACTTCATAGTGGTAGTTGGTCTATGTAAACGTAAAGGGCCTCATGGTGGAGGTGGCGTTATGGGGGTCGACGACCTTTGTTAACGTAGAGAGTCTCATAGTGGTAGACAGACTGTAGTGGTAAACTGTCTATCATGAGTGCTCTACGTGGAGTGCATATCAAGTAGTTTTTCCCCTCATTGGCCATTGTTGATAAATATTAATGCCATCCTGTATCAAAAAGATAAATGAAAAACAAGAGTAGTACCCCATGTTTGTATGACATACCTGGATACCCCTGAAATTGGATTGATTGTTTCAAACCATTTGTAAATATAGCCCCCGTTTGAAGTCCATTTTCATCCATTTTTTTTCCAATCAATTTTCAAAAGTCGTGGGACCCAGGTACCTTAACTATCAATTTCCATCTGACAATGTTTAATGACCTTTATCATGTTTGTATTTTACTTTCCAATATTGCCCTTCAAACTTGTGTGTTAGGTGGAATAGTTTTCATAATTTATGTGGAAGTCACGTGCACATATGTGTGTATTATTGATATCAGGAATTGTTTTGAATTCGCCATGAAATTATCAATTCAACCAAAAAATTTGTGCATAAAAAAGGGAAATGAATTAGTGGAAAATTATAAATGATTTCGCAAACATCGGCATGTATAATGTGACTAACACGAATTCATTGAGTCCCCCAATCAAATTGGGTGCGTTCTATAACTACTAATGTAACACCTACACCGTGTAATCGCGTAGTTGCTGCCATGGGATGTCCTCTTCAACTATTGCATTTAGCTTGGCGGCAATTTCATCTTCTTCATCAAATAGATCTATCGTGACTTCGTCGTTATCTAATTCTTTAGCTCTACAAAAACCCTCAACCCCCCGACTGTTTCTCCTCAGGAAGTTATGATACCCATTGTGGCCACGACCACAACTGTTTGCACTCTCATATTATAAGCAGGCATTCGATCAATGATCTTTCATCTCTGTTTCCAAATGCCAAAAGCACGCTCAATAACGTTACGGCATGAGGAGTGATGGAAATTGAACCGCTCCCATGCATTTCGGAACCGACAGCAATGTCTTTCCCTTACGTTTTTGAATTCTTGAAAATGATATCTAATATCAGATCTCTTATATGGAACCATATACGCTGGCCTATGTGCGAAACCAGAGTCAACCATGTAATATTTCCCGTTCGCGGGTTGTGGAAAATTGATTTCAGGACTATGTACAGCACTGGCCAATATGCGACTATCGTGGGTATTTCCAGTAGTTTCCGGCATCACGAACGTAAAACAGAGATTGAAATCACATGCAGCCAATACATTCTGTGATAGAATCCCCTTTCTTCCAATGTAATTCTCTCTTATATTTTGTGGGAGCACGCTCTCAAGTGCGTTCCATCAATCGCACCAATGCAATCCTGTAATTTCAATATTTTAGGAACACAAATGGAATTTATAGAGTTTGTTACTGTTGCACAATCAGTTATATTACGAACATAACCTGGAATATGGGATATCGTTCCACATGCGGATGATGGTGAGCTGCGCCTTCTTTGTAATGCGGATCTGGTTTAATCATGGTCACCGCGAAAGCCACGCATGCATGCATGACTGTCTTAAAGTAATGGCTAATGGTCTGGAACGAATGACCGAATAGTGTTTTCACTTGCCGATATCCTTTTCCATGTGCTAGAATACACAAAAACATTCCCACTTGTCCATATATGTCAATGTTAGTTCTCCTGGTAATGTCGTACTCATCACGTAGGATGTGCGTAAAGTACATAAATATCGAAGGATACATCCTAAATTTCTAGAAACATGTTTGTGGATACACATGCATATTTTGTAGCATAAAAATGTGGCTGCATCGCGTTGTCGAGAATAAATATCGATGTGCTCTATTAGGTGCCAAGTATTCGCTAACAATTCACTCTGCGATTCTACACTACTGAAGCTACGTGTTAATGTCATTCTCTAACTAATGCATCAAATCTTCATCTGAACTCGTATCTAAATCAGACATCTATTCAATGTTGCAGTCTGTTTCTGAAGAAGAGTACACCTCTGAAGTATCTAACATCTTTTACACTAATATGCCTCCGTTTGACACCCGTTTTTAGCAAAAAATTCATTCTTCTACAGTTTCTTTTTCAAAAAATGTGGGACCCATGTACCAAATCTTTCAAATCGGTCAAAAAGTGTTCCCATCCTACCTGCAGAAATTCGTGCTTTCCAACCATTTCAATGTTTGTTTCCGATATTGCCCTTTCATAGTGTGTTAGGTTGAAAAGAGTGAGGGTATTTGTGGAAAATTGTAATTATTTTATGAGGGTAAACTCGGAAGGAATTCTCAACGGGAATATGCATTAAATTGGGATTCTGACACAAAGTTTGAGTGTAGACACTGTTGTCTTCCTTTACTGTAGGAGAATGAGTTTTGCCAAAATAAAAACGGGTGTCAAACGGACTCTATGTATTCTGTAGCAATGTCAAATATTTGTGGGGAATTGAAGGCCTTAAGAACAAGCTTGTAGGTTTCAAGAGTATTTGAAAGTATAAACTACTCTACGTAAGCAGTCATGAAATAATGCCGTTCTAGTGTAGTCTGTATTTATAGAATCATTGTGGGAGTAATAATTTTAAGCAAAATGGAAATTGAAAAAATCTTCTGTCCTTTTTTTTTTGTACTCATGGAATGGGGATATGTGGTTTGAAATCAAGATGTAGGGAATATATTCCCTGCATTCCATGTTTTATTATTTTGTTTTACTAGTAATAATGTGGGTTTAAAAAACATATGTAAATGTCAAAAATTTGTTAACTCATGCATAATTCTCAAATCAGGATGCATGAAATATTTTACCTGTGGTACATGCACTATCACTGCCTCACTATTTCAGAACAACGTGCATGTGCAAACAAAAATTGGTTTCGAAATGAAACAACATATTAGAACACAAATTCGAAATTACTATCCAACATCAAGTTAAAGATACAAGGATATTTAAACGAGGGTCCAGTACACGTAAAATCGTAAGAAGAAAATGAAAAAAATTAAAGCGCAGCGCAAACAGCCGAACGAAGCGCTCACCAATTGCGGTGAAGTGACAAACTGTACCTCTCGAAACAGTGCTCGATGAACTTAAATCTCAAATAAGGTGTCTTGGCAGCACAGTATGAGTTACGATTTTCTTTGTCCCGTAGGAGCCACAGGGCAAAGAGGTGGAGCCGATCACCTTCCTGCACATGACCAGACGACAGAAGTTCGTTAACGCACTCCCCGACTGACATTCCGCCCTTATGATGCGATCTCGAAATTGAGGCAAGATCTGTTCCAACACTAACCAACTGCTCAAGTGAAGGTGAAACCTCTCGGGCACCGTACATTTTCTTCTTTCCTTTCACCTTCCTGTGTTTCAATTTTCTATTATCCCCACTATGGTTTCCAAATATATTTATGGAGAAATTAGCTCTACCTTCGACTGGGCTGCCACTGGAATCTGTTGCCTCCGCTTTAATGGGATACTTGCCGCCTCCGTACTCTCTGTCGCTATTGTACCTAAGTCAAAACCACGCCTCCATAGCTTTGTTGGGGACGACACATACTTGGTCGAGTCGCCGGTGTCCCCGAACAATTTGCCATATGTGTCATAGATCTCACTACAGTTGAAGTTCATGTACTTCACATACTTTGGGTTGTTCTCCTGCATAGATGCGATAGACGACAAATTACATTCGAATGCGAAAGAAGTACTCACTAGTGCATTAATGTGTGTCTTTGGGTTATGTGGATGAAGGATGAATGAAAAGGCAAGCAAAATATACATTCTATAGAACTGGTACTCACATATATCAAATAATTGGAAGATGCATTTTTATGTCATTCATCATGTTCAATCAATTACCAACACAACCAACATCATCGTCAACTGCAATTAGCATCTCGAAAATGAGGAGCTGAAGATGTGAAAATTATCACTAGTTTCTAAATCTAGCCGAGTCCCGTGTGCATTTTTTGATGTACTTAGTTTAGGACTGTTTTGCTGCAAACATAAGTGAAATAATTCGATACCTTAATTTTTGTTTCCCACCAATGGTCTGGGGCGTGAATTCTTCCGGCACTTGAGCGGTACTCAATTCCAGTACCTTGCAGTAACTCAAACATGTCTTTATGTTCAGTTCGCAGTTTATTCCAGTAGTTCATCATCTGCGATGTAGTCCAGTCCTTTCCCGTCGAGGCGTTGAACATATTTGCTATATGATGCCATCCTTTCGGGGAAAAACATTTGCCTCGTCGGTGGCCTTTAGCTATGACAAGTTCGCAGGTGTCGAAGAAGACTTTGTGCTCTGACTAGTTCCATTTTGAGGTCTTTCGCACCACGGCCTGGGGTGGCCGCGCCTTGGAAGAAGCATAGATCAAGAGATCTGGGCTCCCATTTATGTACCGACCAAGGGAAACACGGGGGTTAAAAGTTACGCGATATTGGTGAAAACTGATGAACCATGATGCCATTTTGAATTTTTCGTCTAATGTTACTCGGGAAGGTGCCAATGGTGGGTATGCAAAACAGGTGGTAAATGAAGAGAAAATTTGAGTTCTCCATGTGTATAAAGTTACAATTCATTGTATATTTGAAGCAAATGTACGCAGTGTGGTCGCCAAAATTTTTCGAATGAAGAATGGCTTACTGTGTGGTCGGGGTCACAGTGTTACATGGAGCTATCGTTATCCATTGTAGATGGTGACAATTTTTGTGCAAGTCTCTGGATCTATAGGCTCAGAATGCTCCGAATCGAAGTCAGCAATAGAGATGACAAGAGAAAAATCCACTTTCTTCACGAAATTGGAAAACTTTCTGGTAGAAACAGTGTTGTGTCTTCGCCATGGACAATGAAATTTTGGCATTGTTCTACTGGATTCCCACTGCTGTCTGATTTTTTCCCTTGAATTGGTCCAGAAAATATTTCTCCTGCTGCGCATCTACCTGTCTATTTTCTACGACCAGTTAGGTTGAAAAGGAGGAGGGGTTTTGTGTACAATTACAATTAGAATAGAAGGGCAAAACCGAAAAAAGATACAACGGGAATATTGTCATTAAATTGGCATTCTAACACATTTTATTGACTTGGTTGCGTGTTGTCTAATGGCACTGTGCAAAAATGAGTTTTCACAACAAAAAAATGGGTTTCAAACACGAGCATAATATATCGTCAGCAAAAGATAAATGAGAAACAATAGTACATTTTGTTTGTATGCCATACTTGGATTCCTCTGAAACTTGTGGACAAGTAGTTGGGAAAGATAATTTGTAAGAATAATAAAATAATAAGGAAAAACATGATCACATTGTATGAGACCATAGTATGAATAGAAGAAACACATTGATGACCGTTGAATAGCACCGAGAACTAACACTCTGAGATGCATCAACTCATCAGAATAATCCAAATACAGCCAAAGCCAAACTCTCCAGTACCAAAAGGAGAAATTCTTAGTCCATAGAATCATATTCCTTAGTCATATCAAGCTTAAGGACCATATTACCTTTCCTAACCTTCAAATTAAAAGTATAAATTAACTCTTGAGCTAGGAGGACATTATTTATAATAAGTTGGTCCGTAATGAATCCATTTGATGTGGAGAGATGATACGTGGAAGTAGATAATTCGACCGCAAGCTTAAAAACTTAGCAATCACCTTATTGAACATTGTGCATAAATTGATTGGTTAAAAAATCAAACCACCTACAAGCACCTTCCTTCTTAGGGATCAAATCAATAGATGAATAGCAAATTTCCTAGGTAGATGTCATCATCTAGTAAAAAAATTCAATTCTACTAGAAAAATATCATCATTAATTATATTCTAACGTTGTTGATAAAAGAAGGAAGAGTTTGACATATGGTTGACTTTATTCTTATTGTTTTGATCATAACAAACAAGTTAATATTGTTTTCTGACAATTGAATTTATGTGATTATGGTCTTCAAAGCATTCACTGTTAAATTGATTGATCGTTGTCAACAGATCTTTATCAAGACTATTACAATATTAATAGAACTTACAATGAAGGTCAAAAACAAAGTCAAGCATTCAAGTCAAATTTTCGAGACAAGACCACAAAAATCAAAAATCAAAGATCATAGATTAGATGTTTTTGTTTATATGTAAAAGTACTCACACTTCAATCTTTAGCAATGAAAGATTAAAGCTCTAAAAATAATTTAATGCACAAAAACTATTTTGATAACCACTTTCATAAAATGTTTTGATTAAAGGTAATGTTGTTTTTCAAATTGATATTTTATATTACATCATTTATAAAGTATTACTTACCTTGAAAAATAAGTTGAAAACGTCTTCCAAAAGCCTACATTTTTCAAAACATTCAAGTTGGATCAAACGAAGTAAAATTGAAGAAATCTGTGAAGGTGGACGTCTGAAAATTGTAACGATCAATTTTGTTTACCATTCTGATGTCTGACGTTGAACGACTAGTTTGTTGTGTTCGAACTTAAGGCGGACGTCTGGACCACTTGTCCGATCTCTCAAAAAATTTGACATTTTGAACTCTATAAATAACATATCTTGCATTCATTAAAAGAGTCCTTAAGAGCATTAAAAGATGGAATTCTTAAGCAAAATCATTTGAGCTAACATCTTATTTATTTCATCTAATTAGTCACATTGGAAAATTTTGATTGCTTGAATCTAAATTTGAAATCATCATATTTATTCAAAGTTTTTTCATTTAATACGTGAGCTATCATTTATTGTTATTCATTGAAGTATTAATGTCTCTTAATACTTAATTCATGCGTATCATTTATTGAAGAGAATCTTCATTGTAAATTCATTCTTGAAACTTGTGGGTCATATTGAGTTCTCTTGAAAGCTCAATATTGTTTAAGGATCGATACTCCTTATTTGTAAGTCATCGGAAGCACTGTATAGTTTGGATTGTACAATAGAGCAATCAATATATTGAAAGGTATTACTTGTGATGGAGAGGTTGGTAATGAAGGTCGTAGATCATTAAATTGGATCGAACCTTCACAATTATATTGTTTGCACTCTCTTCCCTTTTATTTACAAGTATTTCATCTATGCTTATTATTTGATTAATTTTCAAAAAAGTTTCAAAAATCAATTCACCCCCTTTTTGGTTAGTTATTTTTGGTCTTTCAATTAGTATCATAGTGATGTGCTCATTTTTTTAAAACTTAGGCCTTGTATGGGAGAGATTAAAATCGGATTAAAATTGAAAATATAGCCGTTATTGTTGACTTTTATTAGACGAGTGGGATCCAACAACGACCATATTTTCAATTTTAATTGGCTTTTAATCCCTCCCGAACGGGGCCTTAATCTTGAGTAATGACTAACATAAATTTTCAAAATATTGAGGAGCATTTTACAAATCATCCTCCATTCTTGCTAGTACACATTATAACTGTTGAAAAATTAGAATGATGATATACGTTCAATCAATAAGTATTAATATTTGGGAGGTTATTGAGTTTGGTCCTTATAGGCGCACAAAGGTTATTAAGATTGATGGTAAACCAGATGAAACTAGGGTTGGGCGTGGGTTGGGTTGGGTCGGGTTTTTTCTCAACCCAAAACCAACCCAACATATTCGGTTTGGAAAAAAATTAACCCAACCCAACCCAATTACGTGATTAAACCCAACCCAACCCAACCAAGTTCGGTCGGGTTGGGTCGAGTTGGTCGGTTTGTAGTTCGCCATTTGTTCACGAATGGCGCTGATGTATATGAATCCAAAAGATTGCGAAGAATTTCAAGAAATTGGTAGTGCATATCATCTACAAAAACTGTGTATAATTGTGTGCATATCTATTGAGATGAACATATAAAATAAAACAATTTAGATTTAAAGAAACTAAACAGTAAACATAAAGCTAATCAAATCTTGATTAATTGGAAATTCAAATGATCAACAAGTATGCAATTGAGTATTTGTTTACAAATCAAGCATCATAATACAAAATAATCTCAATTCATCAAAAGACAAGTAGAAAACAAGGAAACATATTTTATTATTCTGCCAGATCATTGATAAAATACAGCAAGCATGTTGAGACATACCTCCTTGCATATAAATTTTGCCATTCCTGCATCCATCCTCATGGTAATATCCTCAATAGCCACCTGATAACTGCAAAGAAGAATTTGTTTGCACAATTTATCTGACGTTCTGGGACCAAAAATTTCAATATTTTTGTACAAAGGCAATAAAAAACTAAAAAAAACCCACAAATATATAAAATAGCCTTATTCGGTAATTTCGATTTTC